TAAATAAAGAAATACATAGTTGAATATTTTTCATATGCGTCTTCATATGCGCGTTTGTACTGGGAAGTACTACCTGCAAAATAAATCTCTGCGTAAAAAAATATCTGTATATAGACAGAGCCGTAAGACCCGACTAAACTTAAAAAAGAGAAAACATGAAGAGAATGATACAAGATATAGTGCAAGAAAATGGATCCAAAAGCTGGGAGAAAAATGAAAAACAATCAACGAATGTTGATTTTTTTTAATATTGGGACAACATCAAAGGTTGCAATAGAACGTACCATTTTGAACCTTCTTTTACATGTGTGATTGCAAATGATTCTAAATGGATTTCCTTGTGGTGCTTGCCTTGTCCATTGTAATTTACTGGGAGCACCAGTAAAAGGCCAATTACTGCAGCAATGATGAATACCCGAATACTGCAAATAACAGTGCTGTTAGTGAACCTGCTAAAGCAAAAGTAGATATATACTGCAATGAGCATGAGGAAAATAACAGTGATCTCCATCTAGTCAGACATAACCACCTGAAAACAACTATTCTCATGAAAGCCACAGCATCGACGCCGCCGACAGCCAAAATTTCTTCGTCGGTCGCTTGCCAGGCCTTGGCGATCCAGCCTGCAGAGGGCACGAATCTCGTAAGGCAGCTAGGATCACCGATACCGCTTATCGGCTCCGAAACTAGCTTCCGTGTGAAATATACACACGCGTTTGCCGGTTGTTTCCTCAGTATGGAATACAACGTCAGAAGCACAACGCAGACAGCTATATTGATTCCAGCAGATGTTAAAAGATCCCCAACTTCCATCTCACTCCACTGTACCCCTTTTCCCAAGAATTAGAGATCCGAACATGCAAGTGATCAGTTGCAGAAGGACGAGGAAATGGAAGAAGAATCGATCACAGTAGTTAGTTTAGTTAGTTTTGTTCAGTTGCACCAGTGAGTGACAGGTGTAAACAGTTGAGAACAATAAACACGTTAAAAACAAAAAAGTGAATGAGATGGCAACTGAATTCACCTCGTGGCATGAAATGAGTGGATAGCACGAAAACATGTAAGATCCCCAACAGAGATCCCATATTTTTGGGGTTCCCGGTGGCGGCGCTATGTTTTAGGGGTCGTTACGCCTCATGTAATTAGACCTGCCCATATTTAACGTAGATCATAAACTCATAATTTTATTAAAATATTAATAAATTTAATTAGTTGTACCAATTTTATTAAGGGTAAAGTACACAAATGTCCCCGATCGTAGGGTATTACGTTCCCGACTATTAAAAGTTATAAAATGGTCAATTGACTATAGAGTGTCGCTTTGTTGAGTCCATCGACTATTAAAAGTTACAAAATAGTCACCTAACTATTCATTATGTTCTAAACTCGTCCTTTTTCGTTAAAAAATTGGCGATTATCTAATCTGGACATTAACATAATGACTGGAATATGATAGTCGTTTAAGATTCTGTGATCATATTTTTATCATATCACAGTCAGCAAAGTTAACGTTCAGTTTAGAATATCGCCGATTTTTTAGCAAAAAAAGGATGAGTTTGGAACATAATGAATAGTTGAGTGACTATTTTGCAACTTTTAATAGTCGAGCAACTCAACAAAGCAACACTCTATAGTTAGAGGATCAATTTGTAACTTTTAATAGCCGAGAGACTTAATAAAGCAGTCGAGGGACAATTTATGTACTTTACCCTTTTTTTAAATAGCTAGAGTGATTTCAGTAATAAAAAAGAGTGTTGTTCATGTAGGTACATCTGCAGGGTGTGTTTTGTAATTATCTCAGATTATTTATAAGATCACTGAACTTATCAAGTGACTTTAGTGGTAAAAGATAAAATTATTCTCCCTAGGTTTGAGTAGTTGCATTGGTAGGGTGTGTTTATGTTATCAATAATTTTTTTAAAACATATTATTTTATAATCATCCATGTTATTTTAAAAAAAATCATTAAAAAGAATTCACAATTAATTTACCAAAATAATTGTCTTTATATCTTATATTATATTAATGTGATTTCATTATAATTAGTCTTGTCAGAATAACATATTTGATAAATAATATTATAAAATTATCACATATCCTTTAATTATATCCTTTAATTATATTAAGGGTGCGTTTGGTTCACGGAATGTAAGATTACCAATGAGAATAAAAGATTACCAGGGAATAGGATTATTGTGAATGTTGTATTTTGTGTTTGGTTGGTTTAGCAGGAATGTAAGATTACTATGTTTGGTTAAAGGAATAAAAGATTATTACAATGTATATTTGACCAAATTGTCCTTATTATATATTTGTTTTTTTAACAAGTTGGAAAAATATTTATATATTTTCTTTAAAAAAATTAAATTCATAAAATTTATATAGTTTTTTTACAAAATTGAAAATATAAAAAAGTTTAATGAAATGGTAAAAAATTATTTTAACCTTGAACTTCATATAATATTTTAATTATAGATTTTTTTTGTAAATCTAAAATAGTTAAAGGATAAATTTGTAATTTAACCTTCGTAGAATTTTTATTATTCAATGACAGAATAAGAATATTTTTGAAAGAAATTTTTTTAAGGGCATTTTAGTCCAAAACACTGGTAATCCAACAATACCTAAGGAAAGGGAGATAATGATATTCCCGGTAATATACTCCAAAAAATTCACTATTAGTAATGTAAGATTACTGGGAATGACATTCCCTACCAACAAAACGGGAGAATATGGATTCCATTCACATGGGAATCTCACATTCTCCCGACCAAACATACCCTAAAGAGTAAAGTAAGTACACATATTAACGTAATAAACTCGTTTTGTGATTTTATTTATTTTTTATTGATGAATTGAGCAATGTTCTTTTAGAATAAATTACTCTAAATAACATTCAATGCTATACCGAATTAATTTAAAAGTTAACCATACATCTGATAAGCAAACAGAAGAAAGTTGAAAAGCAAGTTGAAAAGCATGCCAAAGACGGTTCTCAAACCGGGGAGCAGGTGATAAGCAGGTTGCAGTAAGGTAAGGTTAGGGTCATGGCTTCATAGGAGACTCTTTCTTCAAGCCGAGAATAGATATCGATTATTCGATGCGATTTCTTCCTTTCAGATTACTGGGAAAGCTGTGATGCTTGATAAGATTACTGAGAGAGAGAGAGAGAGAGGAGTAAAGTTCAAATGATGTATTTTACCTAAAGTTTTATTGGTCTTGATGTTGTTCCTGACATGAAAAAATTGGAGATATTACACTATAAGTGTGCATTTGAATGGTACAGTTGATTAGACACTTTTACTCTACATGACATGTTGTTAGTAGAATAATATCATTTTGGAAAGTAATAAAGATATATTAAACAAAATATGGCGGTCCTAATTAAATTCAATTGTGGTAAGATCATATGAAAAAGGGTAATTTGTTTTTTAAAAGTCAATAAAATATTTTTAAATAACAATTAATTTTATTGAACAGATAAAGATAAAACACAACAAAATTTATGATATTGGAAAAGACAGAAAGGGGGGGGGTGTGGCATATGATTTATAATCAGTAGAGGGAGGGTGGAATTTGTTTGGTGATTTGGCTTGAAGAAGAAGAAAAAAGGATTGGGTTTTAAAGTTTGGGGACCTAAAATAATTGAAAATGCTCACTTTTCTTTGATTTTACAGCATGCTTACCAGTCTCCAACGAAACCAAAATAATGCTTCTCCTGTTCACGCCTCTCAACTCATACTCATACTTCATATCATAAATAAATAACACTCTTCTATACTTAAAAGTGAAGGGTTTTTTTAATCTTTACAACATGATAAATCATATATATATATATATATATAACTCAAAGATTGAGATTAGAGTAAGAAATGAGAAGATATTCAATGGAAGAAATATAAAGAGTTAATCTCAACCTTTGATTTTCTCTCATCCGACGATCCAAAAATGATGTAAGACTAAAAATTTTACACTAGGTGTAATTTGATCCGAACCCATTGGATGAGAGAAATTAGAGGCTGAGATTCAGAGTCCGTTTGTTTCTTGGAAAATAGATTTTGGAAAATGAATTGCATTTTCTGGAATTCATTTTATGATGTTTGGATGATTTTGTGTAATTCATTTTCTACTTGTTGATAATTTTTTTTAAAAAAATTCTTTATTATAAACATCAAATACAATAAATAATATTATTTATTAATTTTAGAATAATTTATTTAATAATTTGTTATATATTATTAAATAAAAGTATAATATTATATATTATAATAATATAATTATAACAAAAAAATGTAATATTATATTATTAAAATTATCAAAAAATATAATTTAATAATTAATATTTTTATTAAAATGATACTAAAATAATATATTAATATTAAATATATAAAATAATAATGTTTTGAGTGTTTATACTTTGAAGTGAAAAGTTTGTAAAATGACTTACGGAAAATCAGATGGTAAGTCATTTTCCAGAAATGCAAAGAAAATTCAGTTGACCAAGAAAATGAATTACATTGAGCATCTGTTTTCCGTCAACCAAATAATGGAAAATGAGAAAAAACTTTTTCTCAAAAACTAATTACAGGAAAGCAAATAGACCCTAATAGTAGAAAATAAAAAGATATCTATCGAAAAAAATTAATCTCAACTTTTGATTTCTTTCAATATAATAGTTCTAAAAAAATATAAAACTAAAAATGTTTCACTGTAAGTAGATTATAGCCTCTATATATATATATATATATATATATATATATATATATATACGAGTTTCGCGTTTGTGTTATAAGTTTATCTGTCACTTTTATTTTGTCCTTTTCTTAGTTCTTAATTAACCATGTATAACACGAGTACCATATATTTGTGACAAACTCAAATCAAATCCACTCTCACTAGAAAAAAGGACTTGACAAACTCCACCACCCCACCCTTTTAAACTCCCTTTTCCTTCTCCTTCCCCAACTAGCAGTCGCTCTTTCTTTTCCAAGTCGACAAACATGGGGAATGGATATCATCAGCAGATCAACCATAAGGGAACGGTTCTGCCATTGTTGTGCTCCAAGCCCTCCATTAAAGACGTGGTTCTTCCCAAATGGCAAATCCAGAGGTCAGCTTCTCTCTCCGAAGACCCCTTGTCCCCAAAGATCAGTTGCACGGGACAAGTGAAGAGGAACAACAAGATCATCGGGTTCCCAGCTCCTCACACCAGGAACACCTGCTGCAACAGCAGTGCCAAATACTTCAGGCTCAAGAAGCTGTTTTCTGGTAAGAATTTGACTGCAAGTCCGGCCACGAATGCTGCCACCAGTTGCACAAGGAAGAAAGAGAATTGTGGGTTGATCAACATTGAAACTATGGATCCACCGTTGCCTGTCGTAAAGAAAGGAGATGTTAAGAGAGATGGATCAGACACTCTCTGGCAGAGGAGATCACGTGGGGCTGCACTGCAGAGATTGCAACTTCAACTTGATAGACATCAACAACCTACCACCGTATAAGGTGGTGATTGTTTAAGAGAAAAATGATTTACAATTTTGATGATTGTTGTGTAAGAGACATGGAATTATTGTGATGGTAATGAAGATGTATACGGATTGTTCATCAGGGGCTTTTGTTCTTTGAAAAATAATTGATAGTCCCCACCAAGCCCACCGCTACTGTCGTTGTTTGCCGGTTGTTATGTGAGTCACAAAGTGAACAGATAAGGGAGTCAGGTCAAGGTTGTATTGTGTTTTTCAGATAATTTGTCACATAAAATCACTTGTGACGGCATGAATGACGTTGGTCAGTGTGGGATACTGAGTGGGAGAGAGAAGGTGTAACCCCTATATTCGACTCATACGTTACTACTAAATTTAGTAAGTCATGAGTTATCCAAAATTTGATTCAATAAATATAAAAAAATTAAAGATAAATGGCAAAAGTATTATCTTATCATTAGAAAATAATTTATTTGGTACTATTTAGGTGATAAGGTATTCATTGCCAAATACTAATATAAGTTTAAATTTTCCATTTTAGTTTTCTCATTTCCTGAAGGCTTCCCGTGACTAGAAGCACCATCTGCAATACTGATCATATATCTAAAATCCATGTCGATCAATGACGTCGATTCGATGAAAGAAATGTTCCAAAATTCGAATCTAGATTCATCTTCGCGGCTATTTACACCACCACCCTCCTCAACAATGCTAGCTCTATCGTTGACGGTAGAACAAGGTGGACGGAGAAGAAAGTACAAATGTAGTGTTTTAATCCGTAAACAAAACCATCTATCGATTCGGTGAAGTTACATCAAATCCAGACTTACTTTTTAGAGGCTTTTGAAGAATGAGGAAACTCCGATCGGGGTAGAAGATGGACACTTTTTAGGCTTCTAAAGCAAAAAAAAAAACACAATATAATTTGGATACTTATTTTTCAGTGAAGTCTATTGTAACTCGATGCAATAAATATACAGGTTAGCTTCTCCCAACGTGTCTCAGGCGAGTAGGTCCTGACTAATTGTAATGGCTCTTCTGAGTTTCTGAGTTTCGAATCTCATAATCTAAGACCTCTGTTTTATATATAACACACAATAAAACCCTAGTAAACAGCTACTAAGTAGACAAAGTGTAATTCAGACCTGTTCTTTCTACTAGTAGCAGTAGCAGTAGCAGTAGCAGCAGCAGGCGGCATTAACTCTGTTCTTTATAGGGTGTCCAGATTAATTTGGTAACATCAACCTCAAGACCGCCACGGCCAGCAGCTTTCAGATGGCGATCCAACACCTTGGGGTCTGCACATATAACATGCTGACCTTTCCTGTACTGAATCAGTTCTAGACTCTGCAGTGTCGTCAATATATCCTCTGCCTTTATAGCCGTCATGTCGCTCAGCTCCTGCACAAAAATAGTATTTAACACACCACAATGCAGTGAAATTTTGTACGACCATGAATCAGAATTCTAAGAGAAATTGCATACTAGATACATACAGCTATTCAGAAATAGTTCAATAACAAACAAGAGGCAGTATCAAACCTATCATTTCAGGCATGCTCCTTAACATCATTTCCATTTCCACCCTCTTATTTCTACGAACAAGATAATGTGCTGACTTTTAGTTTCTAGGTTAGTGCCTTAACTACTGTCATCGATCTGAAATGAAAGCAAACGACCCTATCCACAACCTACTCAAGCTTCACAGAAACACATTCAGATCCAATTGCTTGATTGCGGAATGAACCAAATGAATATTTTAATTATCGGCTCCAAAAGTTCCCATTACTATTTTATTAATATGTAAATAAGCAAGTTCTTCCAATCAAAATTGACAATAGTGGGGTCCAACTGAGTTTAACAAGCGTTTTACCATGTAGGCTTGATTAAACTGAACCACCTTCCTAAACAAGCACGAAAGTTCTCGTAAGAACAAATAAAACAGGAGTTGCACACAAGAATTTTAGTACAGCATCAAGGTGGTGGTACCTTGATGGAAATATTTCCTTTATGCTTTTTCAAGATGTCTAAAAGAACCCTTGTCCAGTACCCCCTGTAGCTCAACAGCCCTAGGTCGGAAAGTGGTCTTTCAGGTGTGCCAACTTTACCTTCTTTCTTCGAAAGTTCATACGCTGGTCCATAACAGAGACAAAATCAGCAATAAAGTTCAATTAATAAATAACACAGAATGAAATGCAAAATACAATACAACAATATTAAATATAACACAGCATTTGTATTCAAGATTATGCAACTAGTACGTCACAATGATACACTCTCATTCAATGCTGAAATCAATCATCATCCTCGCTCAATCTCAAATGTATAAATGTCATATTCTGATCCATTAATAAAATAAGGCCCCAAAAAATTAAAAAAGGGGCGGGGCAGAGAGCTTACAGAAGGCAATCAAAAACTTTCCATAGCCTTTCCTTTGATATGGAGGAAGGGTAAGGATGCATGCCAAATTATATGATTCCTCAGAATGCTTTTCCTGCAAGATCAGTCACAAAATGCTAACTAAGATGATTGTTTGTGTTGGGAAGCACAGTCTAAAGCAAAGCGAAAGTAAGGATGAAAAGACAAAAAAATGATTGGCAACTACAGAGTTTTATCAGATATGCTACGGAATGAATAAGCAAATGAAAGTCCCAAAATACACACAAATAAACAACAAATTCTACTACTTGAAAACCTCTAATTTGAGGCTTCAAAGGCAAGAATCGTTATACCCACTCAATGTCATGTTCAATAAATTGCAATTACGAAATATAAGAATGGTCACAAATATATAGACATTTGTTACAAACCCACACTATATCAAACCACAACAAAAATGCACTCAAAGATTACCTTGGAAAAGTATCCAACCATATGGCAGCCTCGATCATCACATTCACACAATACATAGAACAGAAACAAGTCAACATCATAATAAAGGGTCTTGTGGTCGAGGAATAACTTTGCCAAATAACAAAGATTCTGCCCATAAACTTTGTTCTTTTTTCCATCAACCTGTTTCAAAATATTTGAGAAAAAGAACATGAATATTAACAACAACTAAAGATTTGCAACATCCTAAAACATGTAATTATGTAACAGGAATATACAGAATGAGCAGAAATAAAAGGAAGAAGAAGTGGTGACAAGTATTTCTACGCTTATAAGTCGTAAGGGAGAGAAAAAAACACTACTCAAGGCAGAAACTACTTTTCAAAATTAAGCATTCATTGAGATAAATTATTGATTTCATGATTATTTGATTCATATACAATCAAATTGAAAAATTGAATTTCAAAAGCTGCACTTAAAAACAATGGGTAGAATTGAAGAAAATCAGAATCATATAGATTTACTTAATTTGCACCAAGAAAAACCGTTTCCTTTTTCATTTTGAGTTACCACAGAAAGTAGCATCAGTGAAGACTCTTAGACAGCGTACCTCAAACATTGAAAGCGTACCACTTCTATATATTTCGTCACCAGGGGGATGCTTGAGATCACACTTTCTCTACACATTAGGTATAAAACCAGAGTTAATATACTTTAGCCCTGTTGTGTCATAAGGCAGTTGCACATTGACAAATGACAACCACATTTTTTTCCGATGGAGCAATATCCAACATCTATTACACATTCCATCTATCCTTGACATAACATAGAGTGAAAATGACTCATAATATAAACACAAGGATACATAAAACTTTCTATATGCACAATTACCCAGCAGAGATGTGCAATTGAAGACAGTACTTCAAAAAATCAAGAGAAAAAGATTTCAGCACCATATCTTGATCATTAAAACCCATACAGAGGAACTAGTACACAGAGAACAGAAAGCTTTCTATATATGCAATTGCAATGCAGATTGCAGAGTGCTAAGTTGCATTGTACTAAGTGCATATAAAGCTAGAAAGGGACTGATACATGGAAGACAATTAAAATTTTGGAAGTATTTCAACACAAAGTATTGTAGGAAAATGTTTGCCATACTAAGGTAACTCTCACCATATGCCTTTGAAGTTGCTCTTTGCGCTTCATGAAGTTGAGGCAGAACTCACAGAAGTACAATTTCAACGAATCATTATACTCTGGGGGGAAGGGGGAGAAGTACCACGTCTCAATTTCATATCTTCCAAGTTCTATGGTTGCTATATTTTTAACCTTTGTGAATTCCTCATGCTCACGCAAGCTAGCAGCATCTAATTCCTCATGGCCCTAATAGAAAACAACAGAGCAGATTAGTACAGGTTTACAGAATTTCACAAAAGCAATCACATTTACAACAATTTAAATGGACTTCCTATCACCGATTGAAAGTTTTACATTGACTTACTACTTCTACATGTGTCTCGTCAATCTTGCGTTTCTGGTGGCGTGTCATTTTTAAGCTTGTGACCTGAAAACCTCATTGGCAAGTTTCTTCAATTGAATACACCCTCAAAGAAAGTGAGAGGCAAATGAAATGCGACAATTTGCATTGGAAACAGATGTTTACCTTATCTTCAACCTTTTCATCAACAACAGTTTCGACAGAATCAAGATCAAGTTGATCAAGCTTCACCCATTCATCAAGCCTCCTGTTAACTATAATTCCAATATTGCTAATGTTGTTATATATATATAATTTCAAAACTTCTAACACAACAATTCTAAAACTTCAATTCAAATTGAAAGAAAAAAATTAAGAAAATGGAATTTAATTAAAAACCCTAAATCTTAGGGATATTAGAGATCTTACACTCGGTGTAATGAACGTAGTATTCGTAATCATTGGGCTCAGCGTAGTGCATCTTACGGCGTTCGATGACCTTGACAGGATGATATTTTCCATCTCTCCAACGGCACAACACGCGAGTACCCACCTCCAACGGGAGCACGCTCGACCTCCTCTTCTTCGTTGCCTCGGGCTCCGGAGACACCTCCGGTCGTGCTCCGTTTGAGGATGGAGAAGATTTGTGGTCGCCATCGGCAGGTGCGGCGGCATGAGACTGAGTAGTACCGTTCTCTGTAATTGACGGCGAGTCTATGGAACCCATCTGGTGGTGACTGATGGCGGTTTCAAAATTCCAATGGGCTGAATTGAAATAACGATGCGAAAAGATTAATTATGCTTTAGCCTAAGGCCCATGCATATATGCTTCATTTACTTTTAGGGTAAAGTATATAAATAGTCCCCAAACTTTTAAGAATATTATATTTTGGTTATTCAACTTTTAAAAATTATAATACAATCCTCAAACTTTTAGGAATATTATATTTTGATTATTCAACTTTTGAAAAATATAATACAGTCCTTAAATTTTTGCCATTAGTTTTTGCTGGCACTTAACTCCACCACCCCACCACCACCACCACCACCGTCCTTAAATTTTTAGTTCGTTTCCAATGAGATCCTGCAATATCCAATAATTATATTGTGAAATTAACACTGCATCTTCTGTGCTTAAAACAGTAAAGTCCGATGGGCCGAAACAGTCAATACCTTGCAAGTTAACATTGGCTATTTGAATCAAAGTTTTACAAGCTCTAACAAGATAAACATCCATACATCATCCACAAGAAGAAGAAAAACCCAAACTTTTCTACTTTACTGAATTCAGTTTCCACAATTTTATTCATAAAATTGACAATAAATATGAGATTTTTAGTATGAATTAAACATACCTTCATATTACCAGCTCTCTTATCAAATCTCTGAGACAACAACGTCGATGAATCAATAATTCCCTTAGGCTCCAGCGCCGGCCGATTAATCTTCTCGAAAGCTTCTCTTATCCTCATGCAATCAAACTTCACTATATTATGCCCAGCCCACACCTTTCCCGCAAAAAAAAAATACATTTATTTAAAAAAAATCAAATAATTTGAGAAAAAAAGTGAAGAAAAATGAGTTTTTTTTTTAAAGTGAGTAACAGATCGTGGAGGATATCGTGAACTTGGTCGGCGATATCGGAAAGGAAGGTGCTTTAGCGACGTCGTTTCGGGAGATACCGTTGCTGCAAACGAAGTCGGGGGAAATGGAAGAGAAGTCGTTGGGCCGGACAAGGGAGGCGAAGCTCTTGAGCTCCACCAGCCTTTTGGGGCAAACTAAAATGGCTCCGAATTCAAGAATGGAGAAGCCTTCACCGTGCCATTGTGGGATTGTGGTTTCCAAATCGAAGAAATATATTTCCGACCTGTTGCCGGTCGTTGTTGGATCCATCTCGAAGAAGAAGCAGAAAAAGTACGTATTTTACGAGACAGAAAGAGTATTATTTTGAAAGATCTGATTTACAATAAAATAATATCATTTTAAAAAAAATACACTAAAATAACTATGTTAAAAAACCATTAAAATGATATCTTTTTAGATCTTTATCATTCTTTATTTTTCTTCTTTCTTTTTTTATCCAAATTTTGACCATCATTCATCATGATGATCACCATCAATAGTCTTCAACGACTGATAACACAACATCGTCCCTTATAAGAAGGATGTTCCATTGAAATGGATAACCATAGGCAACGGAGTTATTCCGGGACCATTAGGCTCAAATGTCCCTGTTACAATGACCAACATCCACAATGTACTTGCTTCAATGGGATTATCTTAAGAATATAATGAAGCGAGACAGATCAAGAGTTATTCGAGCTCAATTCGATCAAAGTTCGATAAATACTCGACTTGAATGGGCTTCACTCGAGCTCAACTAGACCCGCTTATTAATGAGCCAAAACGATTTATTTGATACTCAACTTGAAAAACTCACGAGCAAATAAAAAATAATAATATATTAATTTTTTATTTTCTCAAAAATTAAATTATAACATTTGCGTGTTGATTTTTTAAATATAGTATAATATTTTTATGTACATAAACTTCGGGTTCGAGTTTCAATCAATTTAAGTTCAAGAAAAAAAATTGCTTTTAAGTTTTTTCACTTCAATTCATGATTTCAAACTTGAGTCGAATTTGAAAATTTTAAACTCGCAAGCTTTCGAGCCTCATTTTAAATTTTTCGAATCGAATCGAACTCAGCAATACTCAAATTCAACTCTACTCATTTACAGCCATAATCTACCCAGATCCCCCCCCCCCCAATATAAATACCCTCATAGCATCCATCTGCCTGTGCTTTCGGAAGCAATATAGACCATGCAATTGCTTCCATTCTGGTTCAACGGGATTGCACCCCTTATGATCAATGTGTACCTTCACCTACGCATCGGACCCTTCTCATATTTCTGCCAACTATGCCATGTTCACTTCCAGTGCACCGGTAGTGATCGAGGAAGCTTGCAATATAAAACTCACTGCAGCAGAGACAGGATGGCCAACGGCCGGAAATGATCCATACGAGTGTGTTGAATGCTCAAACTTATAACAAGAACTTGTTGAATCATGTGATGTAAAGGGGCACCAAGAAGGCCCGACTATATAGTGCTGCCGTTTTTCTTTAAGATGTTCGACAAAAACGTAAAGGGAGATTCGATGCAGCAGAATTTCGGATTCTTCTACCGCCAACATCCAACCCGTTTATCCGTTTCGGTGATTTCAATATATTCATATCTGGAGACATTCATGAAGTTCCAAGTGGAACCTGTCTGAATAAGATAATAGATTGTATAGAGCATGACACCAATGTTTACATAAAGTGCCCAGAGGATAGAACCAAAGCCCTTAGTGACTGCCTTGCACATTTCCTTAACAAGTGAATAATAATAATAATAATAATAAATGGAACTTTTTGATTTGCTTCTTTCATTCGATAAAACTGACCAAAATAACCAATAAGCTATTTCTTGTAAAAGTGAAAAGAAAGAAATATATCCTAAAGATGCGAATTTCTAGAATCTCTCGACTGCAATCAAAATAGCACCCCCCCCCCCAGAAACAAACCTACCCACCCCACATCAAGCCTAAAAGATTCTCTGTTATAGACGGGTAAGAGGATTTAATTGTTGCACTATTTGCAAAATGCACCATCAAACCAAACCACCACCCCAGCTCGTCAGCTTTCTTTCAATCAAAAAAGAAGGGGAAAAAACTAATCATCTGCCATAAAATGAAAAAAAAAGAACTTTGGATTTACTATGTAAGGACAAAGAAAGTCAAGCTTTGGATCCAGAGTCAGAGGAGCTCAGTTCAGAAGCAGCTCCATCCAAATTAGTTGCAAAAGATTGAGCCAGCTTTGGCTGCATGCCACGACACAGTTTCAGAGATGGCCTCAGTTTCATGCACTACAAAAAAAAATGAGTACACAATAAACAAATTGCGCAATAACATTTTGCATCTTTTGTAAAATAATGTACAGCTCTAAGACAATGAGAGATACAGAGTACAAAAGTAAGTCAAAGCTTTATAATTGTCACATCGTTATAATGATAACATATTCTTATTGTGTTTACCATCCAACAGATGAGCATGATCAGCTCATCCTCCATATCATTTTCGGTATACATCAATATCATGTTTACCGTCCAACAGATGAGCATGATCAGCTCATCCTCCATATAGTTTTCGGTATAAATCAAAGTTCATTAGAAACACTAATTATACTAAGGCATGGGTCATAGAATAACTTCAATAAAAAATGATTGAGTAAATGTGTTCCATCAGTAACCGAAAAGTGCAGACAGAGAGAAAGAAAGATGTATCTTACCTCCTGATAAAAAGCATTGATCTCCTCTTCTGTAAGGCCTTCATCTTCACCAGAGTTTTCTTCCCAGCCAAGAGAACGAAGAAATGCAGCCTCTTCCTCATCTGGATGAATCATAGAAGCGGAGCCCATATTCTTTTCACCATCATCATCAGCAAAACTTTGAGCCTCTTGACAGGCAGCACCATTGCTAGTTGCAGCAGTACCATTTTCATTAACATGAGCAGTTGAAGAGTCATTAACTATTTCCTTTGTGACTTCAGATTTCTCTGACATAGAAGATGATATATGAGGGTTTGAATCTGAGTGACTTGCAGAAGTCTTTGCTGAGGCCGTCTTCTTCAGCAGATTAAAAAAGTCATTTCGGCTCTGGGTTTGAGACAGAGAGGGTCTCTTTTCCACAGTGAACCCAGCTACTGAATTAGAAGCAGCTACCTTTCGTTCACCAGCAGATAGCTTTGGGCTGTTTGAGTTTCTTGTGGGACCAACAGCTTGTGTGCTAACTGTAACTTTGCTGTTCACACTTGTTGGACTAACATCTTTGTGAGTAGGGGATGAGACACCATTCTCCCATCCCGGTTTGAGAACCAAAAGTTTCCCAGATGTTTTCAGCATATCAGACTTGACATGTCCACCACGAGGAGATTGATTTCCATGATGAATCAAAGAAGGTTGCTGCTGCCCACTCTTCACAGATATATTTATCTCACTTGTTCTGACAGCTGGTTTGCCTTTGGATTTATCCACAGAATTTAGAACCTGGGACAAAAAGTTAGGCAGTTATTACCTAGAATTTTGAAATACTAAATAAATAATTATTTTATCCATGCAGTAGACAGGTTACAAACAGAACAGAGCAACATTCAGAACACCTCATGTTATGACAAGAAGCTTGCCAACTTCAGTTAATCTTGGCATTTGAAGAGCTCTTGAAATGAACAAGGACAATTATAATTCCATCTGAAGTCTATACAAGGAAACTCACATGAGAAGTCCTTCTGAACATCAAACCCAAAAAATAAATAAACAAATCCGGAGTGGAAAAAAAGAAAGAAATAAGCATGACTGTTTTAATTTCAATTCTGTCGTTATAGTGAGTAGAATCAAAGTTTTATGGTTCATCAATTTACCGTATTTATTTCAAGATACTGATTAAACAAAATGCAGGGGACCTAATGAGATTTTTCCGAATCTCATTCTTGACTCTCAAGTATGATTGGAGAAGATGGTCAATGATCTCAGCATAGTATAGACACAAATAATGTAATTCCATATCTACACTAAATTAAGATTGACTGAATTTATTTAAAGATACTGATTAAACAAAATGCAGGGGACCTAATATTTTCCTTTCCGAACCTAATTCTTGACTCTCAATTATGATTGGGAAAGATGATCAACAATCTCGGCATAGAATAGACACAAATAATGTAATTCCATATCTACACTAAATTAAAAGTAACAACTCAAAGCAACATCAAATATCAGCAATACATTGTGATCTTCAAGTTTATGAGAAGTTATAAATGCAGTAGAATATTATTATCACCAACTGTAGCTTTAAGAAATTCAAATCACTATGGAACTTACTAACTCAACTAATATTTGTATCAGATAAAACAAGAAAGGGATAGTACACTTGATTAAAGAGTGAGTTAAAACCCATATCAAAGGCTGGAGGTGGAGGTAGAATAAGACAAAAAGGGTGGGGAGGGGGAGTTTCTTACCGAACCCTTGGGCATTGAATGTGTCACTGGTATTAGTTGCTTTGATTGCTTAATAGCCAGTTCCTCACGCCTCTGAATCTTGACAGATAACTGTATGAAACAAAAATTTCTAAATAGATCACAGATTGATGTATGAAGAACTTAGTCACTGGTCAGTTACCTGCGGAGAAGTATGGGACAGTGAAGGAGCATGTGCCAGTGCTTCAGCCATATTAAGACCAGACGAGCCAGTTGGAGTCAGACAACATGATATGGAAATAGTTAGGGGGGTAGTCAAGGAACCTGTGTTATTACTTCCAACCACACTGGGGGCTTCTGCCAAAGCTGTGGTCCATCCATTTCCACTAATCAATGCTGAACTACCAATGGGCAAATTCTGAGAAGCTGAGCTCAAACCAGGAGAAGAGACTCTAGCTATCTCAGGCACCACTTGCCTATCCTCAGTTCCAAGTGAGGGAAAATCTCTCTCAAACATAACCTTGTGGATGCTACTTCCAACAGAAACCCCAGAAAGCAGAACATTGTCATTGTTATGGTTACTGTTAATACTATCTCTAGAATCCACCCCGACCTTTCTAGGCAAAGGCTCACCCTGTTTCCTAGAGAACATAGAATTTGAACGGTGCAATGTTTCTATCTCGACCCTACCAGTTAAAAGACTTTCTAAAGGTTCAGAAGCAGCATGGTCCTGATGGTCCCCAAAATTCAACCTCACTTTATCCCTATCTCGATCCCTATCATGGTGATTCCTACTAAAGCTACTGTATGCATGCTTTGCAGAACCATTACTGGAACTCCTCCGTGAATTCAATGAAGATGTTCGCTCCAAAAATGTT